TATCTATCTATCTATCTATCTATCTATCTATCTATCTATCTATCTATCTATCTATCTATCTATCTATCTATCTATCTATCTATCCCTCTCTGTCTGACTTTCTGTCTGTCTGTTGTCTTTTAAAAAATACTGATTTGATTTTGAAAGGATAACTGGGGGAGGACTTACAGTGTGAGCAGTTGCAGACTCACTGATAATCATAAACTTGACCCACCCAAAATGTAGACTTTTTCATGCCCAAAGTTTGTTAGTCTTCCTCTTACTGTTCCTTGTTCCACTGTCCTTCTTCTCATTCAAACATCCGTAGACAGGGCCATGCCACCCCCAGATGTTTGCCTGCTCTGGTTTCCTGCTGAGGGGGATGAGGTGGGCATGTTTGAATGGCAGCCCTACTGAGGCTTGTTGATTGGGATTAACCCCGGCCCTGAGCAAAAGGAAGTTTGATCATGTAATGATAGATAAAGGACCCTGATCAAGATGTTTATATGATATGATGCTGTTGTGACAAAGCTAAGAGTTTGAGCCAACAGTGACCATTAAAACCAAGCCCACTTGCTTCTTCAAGCATGTAAAATAATGAATAGTAAGAACATTAAGGGTAAAAATGCATATAAATTATTAGAAATTTTCCTTTGACATTCTTTTAATGGTGCCTACACATAACAGGGAAAAGCTTCTGGTGGCAGCTGTGTGCACGGTGATGTACACATGTCTCTTAGTGGTGTTTGATTAACTCATCTCTGTGGGTGGTGTGTGTGTCATTTACTCTCAATTATTCAGTCCTTCCAGGGATGTGTTTTTTAATGTTCATGTGGACTTAAGCTATCAGTAGGAGGCATCACAGTGAGCCAACCCGGCGTTTGTGGGAGTTCTTCCAAAACATCCAGAAATAAAAAGGCTTAACTGGTTCAACTCGTGCATTTAGCTAAGAAATTAGAGTTGATTAAAAAAAAAAGAGAGAGAACACTAATGGATTTAGGCTGTCCATGTTTCAGGAGCTGTGATAGACACTGAGAAAATGTTTGGACTGTTGTCTCTCATCCGGTTTGGCATTGAGGGCACGTTTTTCAGTTTCAGGAAATGGAGAGGTTGCAGCAACTGAAGTGTGAGAGACAGCTGGTTTGAAGGAACCACGTGATGAATCATACTTCCTGTAACAGTCAGACCTCGACTCTTTGTGTGTCGACGTCCGAGATAACAAGAGATGGCGAGCACAAGGTAAGAATTTTTGAAAAAATTGGTTATGTTCTGACTTCTTAGATTTACATACGCATATAATTATTAATTGAATTTGCGATGCATGAGATATACTGTATGATCCACACAATTCTACAATGCCAAACTCATAGTTTGAAGGATGCAACACAAAGTGTTATAACAAATCTTCATTTAACTTGTTAAAAAAAGATGGTGTCTCAGAAACATGAAAAATGTCCATCTGTCTGAAGGAATTACACAAAATATGGTGTGGTTGCTTCTTCATGTCAAGATGTTCTTTAGGGCCTCATGCCTGACTGCAATTCCGCCTTCCGTTGTTTGGTTTCAGAGGTTTTTCCGGTTAATGGAGGTTGTTTTCTATTCAGGTTATTTTGAGTTAGGTTTTTTCAAAAGGGTGGTCTGGTCTCAGACAAAGAGCCCCAGCCCCCTGTTTTTACTAATATTGTTTTAGTCACGGACATGATTCAACAATATTAAGCGTGTTGTGTAACTAAAGTGAAGCAATCGTATTACCAAACAGGAAGCTAAAAATCAAAACGAGGCACCAGTCCTCAGAGTATTTCAGATGGAAGTTGATATGATCATTTGCCACAAGTAATAGGAATATAAATAAGGCTCGGGCTCCAAGATGTGCCTACTTCGTATGTTAAATATTTGTATGTTGGTTCAAATCTTCAATCATAATATACTGTAATTACTAGAATTGGTTCCAAAAACCTACAATAACTCCTTAATAAATACTGCAGATAATTACACATAGCAATAAAACAAATGCATTATTGAAGAGAGATGTAAAAATAAAAAAAATATTAAGAAACAATCAATAAGAATTTTTTTATCAGCAGTAATTGTTGAACGGAGTTGGAGGTTGAGACTGAGATATTGGACGTACCGGAACTTACTCGGACTTTTACTACATGAACTTTAAACTAACTTTGCTTATTTATTTGTATTTATTTTTCATGTTTTAGGAATAGAGTTAGGGTTTTCTATGACTTCGACGTCGTGTGTTGTAAATTTACTTTGGCTGTCGAGTCAAATATTTCATCAACAAAAACGCTAATTATATTTTGCCAATATTTAACTTGGAGCCCTCTCACAAACTTCTTTCATCTGTATTCTACAGATGACAGAAGTTTCTGCCTTTTTGTCTCTCTACAGAATAACAAATGCACAGGGTGCCGTTAAACCAGTGCCACTGATCCAGTCTGCCCATCGCAGCGCTGCGGTCCAGATGCGTCTGAAGAACTCTCAGAGCTCTGGAGACCGCCTCAGTCAGTCCAAGTCCATGGTCCTGCAGGAGACAGACCTTCCTCCAAAACCTGTATGTGGAACACAAAGAGGCCCCATATTATACATCACATTGCAGCATTTGATTTCATTTCCTCTCTCAGATTTCTCGGCATCGAAGGAATCAGTCTCAACACAATGTGGTCATGGCGGGAGGTGCCACTTTCGAACCACTGGTGGGTCCCAAACTTTATGGAAGCATCTTAGAGCCAGAGTGTCTTCACTGTTTAACTTTAAAGTTTTCCCACCATAACTGTTAAACCTTATAGAACTTTTTAAAAAATTACTTTTAGGAATAAACTAAAATACACATTAAAGAATAATTACTTTTGTAAAAATGTGTCAAATGATAAAAATAGAAAAACTGAAAATGATTTCAAGGCTAGGTTTTAAAAATGAGTTTTTAAGGATTCTCACATTCATCCCATAATTCTCTAAACCTTTTTTGCCACCTGTTGCTTAAACTGCTTGCCATAATTGTGGGCAGATCAATGGTCTGAGTGCAGATTTGTGCCAACGCATTTTGTTTGCTACACATTTCAGCTTGCTCACATTTATAAGCTTAAGTTCACTTGCCGCCTTAAAAACTCCCATTTTTCTGTTTGACAATCCCCATTCAAATTGCCGTTTCAAGTTACATTACATTTCAAGACAGCCATTGAAATTTAACTGACTTTTAGTTGTACTGGTAATTAAAAGTAGTAAGTGTCAAAACAGGCTCACGGAAGGACTCAGATGCAGAGGTTGGCAATCTCAAGGTCTTTATTGATAACAAAAATCACACTCACCTAGAATGGAAGCACAAGGCCATAAAATAATAATCACTCTGTCGAGGTGGAACCAAAACGATGAAAGTATAGAATAATAATCACTCGTTCGAGGAAGGACAAAAATGACGAGGATCAGGGCTCAAGACTGAAGACAGACTATTTAAACACATGAAGGGAAGGGACCCCCAGGGGAACAAAATCAGGGATCAGGGGAGAAATTCAGGCAGGTGCAAGTGACCAGAAATGAGACGAGAGTTACTTTTCAAAATAAAAGAGGATATGACTAGACAAACATGGAGACAGAACAAAACACCAACTTGACCTCCCCATGGTTTCACACAAAGTCAACTATTTTTTTATTTTTTTTTATTTTGTCTCAACTAATGATGACAAGTTCACCACTTTTCTAAAACATTACATGAAATATACATTTTAATTTTCTGTCACAGACTATTTTGGCAGATTAAAGACCTGAAAAACAATATCTATGCACACAAGAAAGTTTCAGGAGCAAATTGATTTCATTAGTTGGAGCATGAAGTTGAGCTAATCAGCTCTGACTAAAATCAGTCCGGGACTAATGGCTTCTCAAAGTATACATCAGGTACAGTGCTATACACTTTAAAAAATAATGTGTTCATAATGACTAGACAAAAAACAAAGCAAACAAATATATCAAATAGTCCTGACACTGATAAAAATTTGAATAAAATGCTACATACACCGTCTCTCGCCCATTGGAAACTGGGAAAGGCTCCAGCCCCCCCCCGCCACTCCATTAGGGAATAAGCAGTTACCATAGTGGATGGATGTTCTGAAAAGATAGAAATTTCTGCAAAGGCTTCTAAGCTTTGTATCTCATCTTACATTAAAAAAGATTAACATTGTTCTTTGAAACAAACTGAAAGGAATCAATTCCACAAAGAAAGGGGCTATATCAAAGACAACAGACAGGCTCAAGGTGACACGCTCTACTAAAGCAACTAAGAGATGAAGGAGGTCAGAGTTTTTAGAAAATACAAACACCATGAGGATTTCTTAAAAATGAAAACCTGTTCATCGATGGTTGGCCATAACATACATTTGGAAAGATGCGGGAAGTGAAGGCAGCAGAGGTAATCTGTGATCGTAGTGGTCTGAAAACAATAAGAAGCTCTTTTTTTTTTTCCAGGTGGACATTAAAGGAGAACACTTGAATGTGGCTAAAATTTCTGATGGGGGTAAGAAGCAGAGGAAGAATTGGGCTTCAATGTGGACGGTTTTGACCTCGGATCAGCTGCTGTTTTATAAGGACAAACAAGAGAGTGCTGTGGTAAGACAAAAAGTCATTTAAATTCCATTTGCAGCAGTAAATTCACCTAGTGAGAGGAAATACACAAAATCTGAGCAAGAGATGCAATGTTGGTCAGAAGCAGTCCTCACACTGACAAATTGATTTCAAATGATCAGATTTCACCTTCTTCCACGTGCAAACAAACATCTCTGGTCGGAGACCATTTTACCAGGGAACAGGTCATATCTCAGAAACAGTTAGAATGGTTGAGAAGGATATGAGAAGGATTTTCATTCCGTTCTGGATTTGACAAGACACACGTTTTACTCACGTTTTGAGTTTATTCTACAAAGTTGAAGTTTTTCATTTCCAGGCTTGGTATCAGGTGAATCTTGACCTTATGTTTACCATTCCCTTGTTCAGAAACCAGGAGCTAAGACAGATGTGGTTCAGCTAGGTGGGGCAGTTATTGAGTGGACTACGGAGAAATCCAGCAAGAAGAATGTTTTTATGGTAAGAAACACAAAAATGTCATCAATATTCTTTTTGTTTGGCTGCTACTTGTTTGTGAAACCACTGCAGAACCTTCTATGCAACTCCTCACATTAATATGCTCAAGAGTGGGTAAGCTATCTCTAATAATCACTAATCAATGTATTTTTCTCTTTTTGGTTGTGAATCTGGTGATGTATTTACTAAAAGATACAAACAATATACTCTTTTAAATAATTCAGAAGAATATTTACACTTCCTCTCTTCAATTGAATCTGTCCCAGATTACAACAAACACAGGAAGTGAGTACCTTGTCCAGAGTGACAATTCCTCCACTGCCAGCAAATGGTACGACGCCATCAAAAAGACAGTTGAGTCCTCTGTAAGAAACCAAACCATCCGTAAAGCTGGACAGTTAAAATAAAAACTTTCAGGGCACATTTACCCCAAATAGTATATTTTCGTTTTGTAATATTGCAGACAAAAGAGGACAAAGGTTTCCCTCTGCGGCGGTCAAACAGCACAGAGTTCCTGCCCAGACATAGCTCCCTGCCCGGGTATGGATCTGCCTCCCCCAGCAGCAAGCAACGAAATCCCGCCCACCGGCGATCCATCAGTAAGAGCATCCAAAACCATCTGAAAGCAGTTTGAAATGTGATCTATACAAACTACAATGATGAAAAACAAATGTATTTTGTATTGAACATGGATGTCAAATATTTGTCACTATAAGGTGATGTCCAGCGTTTCTCCATAAATTAACTGGATGTGACATTACTGGCTTTAAATCAGACAGTGATTCCTATGATTAGACATTTTAAAAAAGCCTGTAAGGAGACAGCCCTCACCGGTAAGAGTGATTAGAAGAATGAAATATGGTCACAAACTGTTGGGCCTTTTCAAGAAAATACTCCCAAGTCTGCGGATTCAAAGGCCAGAGAAGTTCATTTGTATTGCACATTCTGTGTACAAGACAATTTGCTTTGCAAAGAGTTTAAAAGCAGAACATAAAGATGAATGAAATTAATTAAAGAGCCACACATAATTATCATGTTGCTCTACTGTATGTGACTTTTGAGCATCTCAGTTTTTGATGTTTAATGTTTTGGTAGACATGTTCAGTAGCTCAAAGCTGAAGTACAGCACCTCAGACAGCGCCGACAAGAGCGGAGTGAAGAACAGACTGAAGAAGTTCATTATCAGACGCCCATCCATGAAGACTCTACAAGAGAAAGGCCTCATCAAAGGTTCTCATTTTAATAGCGTTTTACAAAGTTCCCTGTGTTTCCCAGCCGTAGCTAAACTGCCTCTATCACAAACGTGATTCAGAAACTCATCTGATTTTTGGAGTAACCATTTACCTTTAAAGTCGAGTGGGTTTGACAAACGTTTGGACCAGCACTGAGAGATTAGAGAGGTTTCAGACACATGGCTTTAGAGACTTTAAAATATTGCCTCCTGTCATGTCTCCAAAGGTCTTTTCATTATCCTTATTTGAAAAAGATGTGGATTGTGAGGGATGGTGACAGACAAAGAAAATAAAAGATTCATTAATAAGGTCTTAAGACTCAGAAGACAACTGTTTTGGAATCTGAAAATCTGAACTCTGACAAATGATGCTGCAACAAGAAAAAAATCAATGCAACCAACATGAAGCAAAGGTCCGGTGTTTACTAAAGGAGACTAAAGGCAAGCTTTGGAGCTCCGTTCCTCAGAGTTTGCAAGGCTCTGATCTTGCTGCTACCCTCAGACCTCCAGCTCAGATAAACGACGGGAAGGTTCTGGAAAGGACTGGACCAGGCCCTGCTGGTTCTGATGAGCATTGTTGAACTGGGCCCTGTTCTAAAGTACAGTAAAAAGTTTGGAAACTGATGAGCTGGTGTTATTTTTAAAGAAGACTCACTTGTTGTGAAATCACTTAGGATGAATCCATTTCCAGCTAAATGAGTGTTTGACATGTCTTAAGTCTGGAAAAGAATTCAACCTGAGGGATGTATGCTTAGTTTTTTCTCTATTTTTTCTCACTTGGTATAACTGAGATCCACACAGTGATGGGTATTCTCTCTTTTCTAAGATCGAGTGTTTGGCTGCCACCTGCTGACTCTCTGTGAACGAGAAGGATCCACCGTACCAAAGTTTGTTCAGATCTGCGTGGACGCTGTTGAGAAACGCGGTGAGTTCACTAACATATAATGCACAGTTTCCTCATTAAAGAGGAGACAGACACAGCGGTCTTCAGAGATGTTTGGGTAGGTTACCACAATGCAGCTTTTTACAGAACAATTGCATTGCTCACTCAGGGGTTTTAATATTTTGGCTAGTAAGTCTTCAACTCTTCCTTCATCCATCGCATAGCAAGACTTTTTTGTGTGGATCCTCTCACTTCAGCTTGTTGTCCTTTCAATGTTTCAGGTCTGGATGCTAATGGAATCTACAGAGTCAGCGGAAATCTGGCCACAATTCAGAAAATTCGCTTCATCATCGACCAAGGTCTGTTCTCTGAAATAATTCACATAAAGATATTCAAACAGAAAACTTGAATTTTAGCTGAAAGCATTTTTGTTCAGAAAAACTGAACATACAATAACTATTTTGAAAAGCACAAGCAGCTGTCCAAAGATTTTGGCCACACAAACTCAACTACAACAGCTAACACCTAACCCTAACCCACACATTTTACTTCCCAGAAACTTAAGAATAACTCTGGGAAATTACCAGCAAAACTGAGCATGCGATCCATCAAAATGTACCATGAAACCGACTCTTTTACAAGAATTGTAAAAACCTTGTATCAAAGACTTTATGATTTCATTATTTCTGGCAAATGGTTACACTCAGACCAACAGAGAGGTCCAATGACCTAACCTTAACCCTAAGCCGCCGGTATACCATCCCCTCTGTTTCCTCATAGAAGCTTTACGTCCTACGCTGCTTTACGTCCTACGCTGCTTTACGTCCTACGCTGCTTTACGTCCTACGCTGCTGTGTCATGGCAGCTCCAGGCAGCAGGTTGTCTGTAAACACAACACGAATTCAAAACCTGAGGCTGATGTGAGCAACAACAAAGGTGTTGATCAAAGTGACGCGAGGCTGAACCTGTCTTCATTCTGCTCCCCAGAGGAAGACCTGGACCTGGATCAGAGTCAATGGGAAGACATCCACGTCGTCACCGGAGCTCTGAAATTGTTTTTCCGTGAGCTGCCAGAGCCATTGTTTCCCTTTAAGTTCTTCCAGCCCTTTGTGGATACCGTCAGTACGTAAAACCATTTGATTTGTCCATGGTAGGGATGTCCTGATCCAGCTTTTTGCACTTCAGATCCGATCCGATCCTAGGCCTATCAGAGCATGTGTTAAAGTCTAAAGTTCTTTATCTACTTACTCAGTTGTCAGACTCATGTTGAACAGGGATTTACTCTGATAACAACTTAATGGTTAGGACACAGACCTGTGGTTACAGATGCTAATGCTAATGCTCGTGTGGGATCAGACTTTTAAAAAAAACTGGATCTGGAGTCTGGCTCTGCATTTTCTCCTGCCGGCCGATCCGATCCAGATATCGGATCGGGACAGGCCTAGTCCCTGGTGGACTTCTCACGCTAAGGCAAGCACATAAGGACTGATTTATCAGCAAACATCAGCACTTTGGTTGCAAGAAGAATTACATTTCAAACATTTAGAAAAATGTGAATAACACCAAGTGAAACTAATGTTGTTCCTCTGAGCAGAAATAAAAGACTCCAGAGAAAAAACTCAGGCTGTGAAGAAACTCATCCAGAAACTGCCAAAGCCCAATCACGACACAATGAAAGTCCTCTTCACGCATCTGCAAAGGTACATCTCCCCTGTTTGACTCCCACCTACACAGCATTTTTTACAGGATCGGATTTTTCAGTGCAATTTCTTTTCTAAAAGCATGTTAATTACTGATAAGAATTCTAATCTCAATGTCTTTGGTTATTCTGCTGCGTTAGGGTTCTGGCCTTTTCCAAAAAGAACTTGATGTCCACCCAGGGCATTGGCATAGTGTTTGGCCCAACGCTGATGTGGCCCGAGCTGGATTCAGGAAACATGGCAGTCAACATGGTATACCAGAACCAGATTGTGGAGTTCATCCTCATAGAAAGCCGGGAAATCTTCAACATGGAGGCGAAGTAGTCATGCACAGCTGTGTCTGTCTGATGGACTCACATGTACTCATCCCAGCTAAAAACAACCTGTTCAGCTAGTTTTTCACATGGGCTTTGGTGACAAATAAATACAAGTTTGTTGTTTTATCTGACTGAGTTGAGGTCTCTAGGCCCCTGAACATCACAGCACAAAGACAGAAATACAGCACACGAAAAATGCAGTTGTTTGGACTGTGGAAGAAAAGCCACACAGGAAGAGGCAGCGGGTTTGATAGCATGTATTAGAAATACTTTGAGCCATTTCAATTTCCTGCTCACTCTCAAAGATTTCTTCTGTGAACACATTTGTCACAATGACACATGCACCTCATGAGAATCTGCAGGTTTTCCTACCTGGAAAACAAAGACAGTATACATCTCACTATACTGTGGATATGGTGGTACTTTTACTTTAAAATGCACCAGTGATATTAATCCCACATGTGTGGTCGACTTTGGACAAAAGCCCATCAGAGACTCTTTGACAACAGGAAACACAACGACAACTGCACAACACTGCACAAACACAAGAAACCCCTTTAGCAGACACACACTACAGGCTGAGCTTAGTTTTCAGGGTAATTCAGCTGAACGGTACATTCAGGAGGTGACACTACAAAACGTTAGAAAACATTCAGTTAGAAATCTGAAACACTGAAAGAAAAAACACAATCATCACCAGTTTCCCAAAAACAGACGCACTATAGAAAAAATGTCACAACCCAAGACTGGAATCATAAAAACAACATTACAATCATAACACATTTTTCATAAGACATGAGTCTGCCAAATGTTTTGATTTGTCTTAAAAACTAAAAGTTAAACAAACATTTTAAATGAATGATTGTCACAAATGATTTAAATAGAATAGTGATGGCTTAAAATATTGTCAAAAACAAGATGTAACAAAAATGTAGAACTTTACAAAAAAAGATTTAAAAAAAAGAATATTTTTACAATGTCATATAATACTCAGAGTTTCAAGCCTAAGTGATGGACTGTGGAAGTGAGGAATAAATACCACAGTAAACTAACGAGGAGCATTATGGGCTGTGCAAATGGAGTCATTCACACAGGGGATCCAGACTGAGCCGCAGCCCAGCGTCAACAGTGTGGAGAAAATGTAAATCAGTAGTTATGAACTCGGTTTTCTGTGGGTCTGAATACGTCAGGATCTAATACTCAGGTCAAAGTGACTGTCTCAGTCACAGAACCCAAAAAAAGCACTTATTGGCTGTAAAGGAGGAAAGTGGAGTAAAAGAGGAGTCCGGTTCCAGAAAGGCAGATTGGTGAGAACAGCAGGTTGGAGTTAAGAGGTCCTCAGGAATGGAAACTGACCCAGAATCAGCTGCAGCCTGTGAAGACAGGAGTTAGGTCCACAACTCACGAACTGTTCATGACAATGGATAATAATGCTTAATTGTATCAAAATTGAAAACATTTTAATAAAGGATTTGGAAATCTGGAATCCGAAACCCTCCTGCTGTGAGGCGACGGTGCTCAGCACCCCTCCACCGTGCACGGTTACCCCCCCCAACCTCCTCACAACTTCAGGACTCCTCAGTAAAGACCTCCAGCCT